CAGCTAGGCCATACCTCCTAAGCTTTCTCCACTGCTTCTGGAAGCTGCATACCTGCTGGAGACCAAGCCTTCAACACTCAAAGCTTTGGATGAGATAGATATTATGGATATTATGGCTTAGATATGAGGTGTCCCTCAAAAGGCTCATATGCTGAAGGCTTGGTCCCCAGCTAGCGGAAGCAATCATTGAAAAATGATTTTTATCCTGAGGGCTGTGACCTCATTAGTGGGTTGATAGATCCCTAATTTGACAGCATGATTGAGAAGTGGGGTCTGGGCAGAGCAAATGGGTCAGCAATTGTGTGTCTTTGATTGATACTAGTCCTGGATCCTTCCCATCTCTCGCTCTCTGCTGTCAGGTGATCGCAAGGCAAGCACTTCCTCTGCCACATGCTTCTGCTGCCCTCACTACAGGCCCCGAGCACTGGAACCAACTGACCATGAACTGAATCCATGAGCCAAATAAATCGTTCCTCCAGGACACTGTTTGTCAGCACAGGGAAAAATGGCTAACTTGATACACGTAAGATACCAACCGTGACAAGTCCTTAAGATGATTCAGGAGGCAGGATAGAGTTAAGGGAGCTGCAATTTCCGTTCTTCACTCAAGTAGCAAAGGTGATAAGTTAATATAACACCTATAATAAGATACCAGGTGTAAAGCAGTTTAAACAAGGAGATGTCCTAAAAAAAAACCAGACAGATAAAGCAAATTGACATTATGCAAAAGAGAAGGAACCTGGGGACGAGGAGATGCTCAGCAGTTAAGAGCATGGGATACTCTTCCAGAAGACCCAGGTTCCACTACCAGTGCCCAGATGACGGCTCACAATAACACATCTGTAATTCTAGGGGATCTGCAGGATCTGGGCCTGCAAGTGTTGCACACTCACACATGCAGGCAAAACACTCATGCACATAAAAAATGAAAATAATTCAAAAGGACTTATTTTTTTTAAAAAAAGGACAAGGAACCCATGGAAAAGTGGGACGAAAATGGAAGATGAAGCAATACGATAAAATGCTGAATTCAAGCCCTAGGACAACCATGATTGCATTATATAAAAATGCTCTAAATATAGCAATTAAGGGACAGAGTGTGAAAGTACATTAAGAGCATGGCCCGCCCACATGCAAGGGCACTACCCTGACAGAAAAGAAAATTTCAGAAAACTAGGTGTGATTCCCTTCACACCACAACTCTCCAAGTGACCCAGGTATAGCTATCAGGGAGCAGTCCCCTTGCTGAGAGACGGTGGGGCACTGAGGGATTCAGGGGAGGGTAGGATGCTGGGCAGCTAAAATGAGAGCAGGGTGCTGGGGTGTTCAGACAAAGATGGAGTTGGGGTGGAGTTAGCAGGGCAGGTGGACTGGAGGGTGACGGTCAGTCCTGACTGATGATCATGGATGTGGTCAGTCACTCCACGTGAAACCAGTTGGGAAATCTACACAACAGAACTGGCATCAGCCTGCAGGTCGTAGTATTGGGTCACAGTTCCAGTAAGCTGTCACCAGTGGGAGAGACTGAATGAATGGTGTGCAGGACTTCTGTGTTTGTGACTTCCTATGAATATACGTTTAAAAATAAAAGGTCAGAGAAAGGTCTCATAAGGGGAGCAAAAAACAATTGAAAAGAAAAAGAGGAGTCAATTTATTTTTTTTTAAGATTTATTTATTGTGCATACAGTATTCTGCCTACGTGCATGCCTGCAGGCCAGAAAAGGGCACCAGATCTCATTACAGATGGATGTAAGCCACCATGTGGTTGCTGGGAATTGAACTCAGGACCTTCAGATGAGCAGGCAGTGCTCTTAATCACTGAGCCATCTCTCCTGCACGGAGGAGTCAATTTATTGTGGGAAGAGCGATAGTAACATAAGGACTATTGAAACACATTGGGAGTATTACTAAGTAACATAGAGTAACATGAGGACTATTTAAACACATCGGGAGTGTGTACTGTGTAACATAGAGTAACATGAGGACTATTTAAACACATCGGGAGTGTGTACTGTGTAACATAGAGTAACATGAGGACTATTTAAACACATCGGGGGCCCTGGCTGTTCTGGAACTAGCTCTGTAGACCAGGATGGCCTATGAACTCACAGAGATCCACCTGCCTCTGCTTCCTGAGTGCTGGGATTAAGGATGCTAGGTGCGTGACTGGAAAGGTGGATTTGTGATTAAAAGCCCTTGTTGCTCTTCCCAAAGACCTGCACCCACCTCAGGTGGCTCACAACCACCTGCACCACCAGTTCCCGAGGATCTGATACTTTCTTCTGATCTCAGTGGGTACATGCATATGTGCATACTAACACACACATGAGAGAAAGACAGAGAGATTTTTTTTAATCTTGGAGAAAAAAAAAAACTAGAGAAAGAGCTGCTAGGGCCAGAGGAATGCTTCCCACCGACCTTGCTAATCTCCTCCTGGATTCCTAGACCATTCCAGAAGCGCTAAGGAGCCAGTCCTGGTTTTCCACACTCCCTCTCCATCCACGCTGGGAAGGGATGGGAAATCTTGCCATGCAAGATTTGCTTGGGTAGTTCCCCAGTTGTATTGCAGACTCTCCACTACAATGTAAAACTGTTTAATCCATCAGGGCAACACACATTGCCAAGGGTTTTAAAATATGTCCAAGTAATCAAAGTTGAAAGAAAATCACCCTCCTACCAGTGGGTAAAATTAACCATATAAGATATCAGATGATCCGTCCCTAGCCTTGATCTGGAGCTCTTGTTTCCTGGGGAAATTTTCAATTCATCGCCAGCACAGGTGGATATACAGTGGACGATGTGCCCATGTGCCCAGAGCATTTTAAACACAGAGACGCCTTTAGAATCACTGCAAATGAACCCTGCAAGGCAGGCAAGAAAGAGGCCTCTCAGCGTACGCTGGGCCCTTCTGTTGTGTTGACTGTGGCAAGCGATGGTCATTTGAGCTGTCCTTTCCAGCCCACAGACAACCACATAGTTCATGCCTTTTCCACGTTAAAACAGTCCCGGGAGGCAGGAAAGATGCTGTCAGAGAGATAAGGGCAGGCACCCAAGGGCGTGACGTGGCCAAGGTCACAGGTGGGGATGTGGGGCTCAGTCTTCCTGGGTCTGGGGCTCTGGGTTGCTCCGGGGTTGACGAGCATCATCCTGTTCGTCTCTAAGTCACTAAGCCAGTGATCACTTCTCATCTGCTACACTCTTCTCCCAGAGAGACACACAGGAAGCTTTCTTAGCTAGAAGAGATGGCGGGACTATCCACTGGATCATGGGAAGTAGCCAGTTTCCTTCATGAGTTTTGTACTGGGCCTCATTCATTCTGCTCTCATGATCTAACCATGCCTGGTCTAATCCATGGAGTCACTGAAGAATGAAACCCAGATATTCATATGTTACTATCACATGACCAGAAACAGCCGTAGCTCAAGGTGTGGTAGCTAAAACCAATATTATTACAATCATAATTTAAGAGGGGAAATAACTTAAAGTGTGGTCCATTCATAGAGTTCATTTTTGTGAAGATGTTAAAAACTATGTTTACATTTTTTTGTTTACAAAATTATTTAGTTTGTGAAGGAATTTCTTTGATAAGTTGATTTATAAAAAAAAATTCTGAAATGATATTACACTGTATGGTTTCAATTATGTTTTACAAACAGTAATTAAAAACTCAAATGAAATATGACAAAATGTTAATAATGGGGAAATCTGGGCAGTGAGATGCTTATACAACTATTTTTCTACTTTTTTTTTTCTGCTCCCATGAACTTCCTGGGAAGCCAATAACTGTCTCTGTATTTATAAATACAATACATCAAGGATACTAACTACTAGTTTTCCCTCTTGCAGCTGTCCCTGCTCAGCTACATAGAAGAGATGCCAGGTGCTGGCTCACACCCTATGTAAGACCCACACTGCTGGCCCCCTCCCCAGTGGGCACCCGTGCTGGGCATGGTAGGTCTCCAGCCCTGGTTCTGAGCAACGTTATAACTGGACTCTCCTTATCAGAATCTGAGAGTGCTCATTCATGCTATCTACAGACAAACAGCATTCTCCTCCAGTGCCCGAGTGGAGGCTAGGCGCAGCTCCAACACTACAGACAAACAGCATTCTCCTCCAGTGCACGAGTGGAGGCTAGGCGCAGCTCCAACACTAGCACTTAGGAGAGCAGTGCTCTGTTGACAGCGATTATCACAGCCTTGATGGGCAGAAAAGGGCCCCCTCGTTGATGACTTCAGAACTGCCTTCTCTTGATCCTCATTTTCACCTGCTCTGTCAGCTCTCCCTGTTGTTGTCCTGGCTGTTTACAAGAGCTAAGGAAGTCGAGCCTGCAAAATGGCTAAGATGACAAAGGTGACTGCCACCAAACCCAATGTCCTGAGTTCAATCCCCATAACCACATGGTGTTGACAGAGGTTTCTGTCCCACCCAATCCCACAGCTGTTCAGTCTCAAAGAAGCACACAGAGACCTACATGAATTATAAAATGGTTGGCCTATTGACTCAGGCTTCTTATTAGCTAACTCTTACATCTTACATTAACCCATAATTCTTATCTATGTTAGCCACATGGCTTGGTAACTCTTATCAGTGAGGCATTTTCATCTCACTTCCTCTGCATCTGGGTAACAACTGCAGACTGAGCCTTTCCTCTGCCCAGAATTCTCCTGTTCTGATCACCATGCTTATACTTCCTGCCTGGCTACTGGCCAATCAACATTTTATTAAACCAATACAAGTGACAAATCTTTATAGGACACAAGTTGTACAATACTTCCCCTTTTTTTCTTTTCAAAAAAAAAAGAACTCTGAATCAAATCTCCTTTGTTAAGCTTTTTTCCTGACCATTATCCATAACAACTTGTAACTAACACTCTAAACAAAGACAAACATCCACAATTAATTTTTGGGAATGTGGGTGTAGTTTTCTAGGCTACTTCCTGCTGATGAGGGTCACTGATAATCATATGGGAAGCTAAAGAAAATTTAGGATTATGGTCAAGTCCTGACTGGAATATTCTGTGAGGCTTGGTCATCTCAGTCAACAGTCTTGAGGCTGTTCTGGAGGTAGAACTCAGAAGAAACTGCAACAGAGGTGCTCTGAAATGTTGGATCATCTGGGCCATCTGTTCCCATTGGAGATTTTCAGGGGGTCTTCCTTGAACAAAACTTACTTTTCTTAACCCAGAATGAATCCACAGCATCATATTTCCTGTGGAAACAAAAGCAAAACCTCTTCTCAAAAGTAACATATCTTTTGACTTAAATGTTGAAGTCAAGGTATTTTCAAAATATATATGTTAAATTAATACAGCAGCATTTATAATCAAATGTCATCTACCAGATGTTGCTCTTTCTTCAGCCATCAAACAAGTCAAAGACAACACAATAGCATACAGTATCCAGATTCTCTGTGTATTTTCCATCTTTACATGGCTTTTTTAAAACTCTATTTCTTTTATTTTTATTTTTAATTTTTTGGTTTTTCTGTGTACCTTTGGCTGTCCTGGAACTCGCTCCATAGACCAGGCTGTTCTTGAACTCACAGAGATCCCCCTGCCTCTGCTTCCCAAGTGCTGGAATTAAAGGTGTGCACCACACCCAACTATTCTCTATCTTTTTTTTAAGGACTTTATCCTTTTTTCTTTTTTCTCCCATGCCTACATATATTTTTAAACACACTGTAAACCATTTAGAGTGTTTTTTCATCTGAATCTATCTTTACTGTATATCTCTCTTTTTATGACCACCTGAGTCTTTAATTTGTTAAACGGTATGGCTAGGATTAAAGTCATGACTTACGGCTACATCCAGCCATTCCTTAGCTTTCTGAGAGTCTAGCTTCATGGCAGAGGTACCAGCGGGAGCCATGTTTATTGCCACAGCTCTATGGAGTTTCAGGGTACCTGCTACTACCAAGAAGCATGCTGTCAGCTATTCATAAGCACCATTGAAGTGTTTGGTGGTGGGGCCTCTTAAAAGAGCTGCCAGGTTTTTGCAGCTAAAGCTGAGTCAGGAAGCCTCTCTTAAATGAGACACACTTGCCTTTAGCAAACAAAGCCCACCTGAGAAAATACTGCTGTCAGGAAGTGGTGGTTAACTCTGTTCTTTTATGTCTGGAATTACTTCTCAAGCTCTCTCACGTTTTATGTAGATATAGTTGCCCACATTGACACCATTTGTTGACAGAGGTTTCTGTCCCACCCGTCCCGCAGCCGTTCAGTCCCAAAGAAACACACAGAGGCTACTTGTTAACATGGGGGGAAGAGAAAAAACAACTTCTGTGAATTGTTCTTTGAACTCCACACATGTACTACCGTGTGTGTGCGCACACACACAAACACACTATAAAATAAAGGGTGAAAGCCTTTTGTTCTTAAAAACCAAACTAACTAGAAAGAAGTAAGAGAAATTGAACACCTAAGAGGAAATGTAGAGGCTCTGAGTAAATTCTGCATGGGTCCAGCACAGTGAATACCCCTCTACAGCAGCCAATGGTGTCTGTGTAGGAGCCCCAACCTCATGCCCCCAATAGTCATCTTGACATAGGAGGTACTGGACTTTGTTCCGCACAGGAACTCTGGGGGGGGGGGGGGCGGCTGCATTCAACCCCAAGCACAAGGTTGAGCATGACATTCCCAGGTTGGACGCACTTCAGAGAACATCTATCCTTCCCTAATGGCTGAACAAAGCTCAGGGAGAGTGCACTCTGAATGTGTGGGCCCTTCATAGTCTGCTGCCTGTGACTTCCTGCCACTGGGCTGTGGGATCCCACGGAGGCCTGGGAAGGAGCTGAGAAACCAGTGTGCTTGGCCGTTGGTAACTAGTGTCTATTCTTAGTGCCTAGCCAATCAAGAGGAAGAATGTGTTGTGATTGCCAAGATCTGCTGTTCCTTCTGACACACCATTTAAAACAATTTACAAAAGGAACTGGAGAAATAGCTTAATGATTAAGAGCACTGGCTCTTCTTCCAGGAGACCCAGGTTCGATTCCCAGCACTCACATCGGACCACAGCTGTTGGTGACTCCAGTTTCAGGGCATCTGACGATATTTTCTGATCTCCGTAGACACCAGACATGCAAGTGACACACAGATATACATACATGCAGGGAAATTACTGTTTCAGTTAACGTTTCTGTTGCTGTGAAGAGACACCATGACCACAGCAACTCTGACAAATGAAGACAGTTCAGAGGTTCAGTCCACTGCCATCATGGGTCACGGCAGCATGCTATAGATATGGTGCTGGAACTTTGAGCCCTACACCTTGACCCATAGGCAACAGGAAGTACCTTGAGCATATATGAAACCTCAAAGCCCACCCCATCAGTGACACACTTCCTCCAACACGACCACACCTACTCCAACAAGGCCACAACTCCTAATAGTGCCACCCCCTTTGGGGGAACATTTTCTTTCAAACCATCACAATTACCTACACATAAGATAATAAAAGATTTTTAAAATAATAATTTATGTAGCTCGGCTGATAGCACAAGCCTGTAACCCTACCTCCTTGAAAGGATGAAGCAAAAAGAGGTCTGGGTGTCTGGGCCAGCTTGGGCCACAGAGTGAGACTACCGCTCAAACAAAACAAAAACAGCTGAGGAGTTACTGCAGTGATAGAGCATTAGCCTAGCGCGTGTAAAGACCTGGGTTCGAGCCAGGCGGTGGTGGTGCATGCCTTTAATCCCAGCTCTTGGGAGGCAGAGGCAGGCAGATCTCTGTGAGTTTGAGGCCAGCAGCCTGGTCTACAAGAGCTAGTTCCAGAACAGGCACCAAAAACTACAGAGAAACCCTGTCTCGGGAAAAAAAAAAAAAAAAAAAAAAAAAACCTGGGTTCGATCCCCGGCCCTGACAAAGAGACATGAGCAAGTTAGGGAAATGAACACTTGAACTTCGATGTCTATAGGAATTCGTGGTTTTCTGCCAGTATTTTCTTATTCACTTGGAATAAATGAAGACTTTCCATATTTGTAGATTCAAATGGAATTATTAGATTCCCTAGAGCCTCCTCTGTGATCTACCTGAGTAAACACTGCTTCCCAGGGGCAGCATTCCCAGGGAAGAGTGACCCTGGGCATCCCTAGGAGATTCCAAATGGTGTCCACCCACCACCTTTCAGGCTCAAGGGTGGAAGAGCCACACGACCCAATGTAGTTTTGCAGTCCAACACCTGACAGTTTTGCCTATTTAAATAGAGCTGCCAACCTCTGGTTTTGCCAATGCTCCCATATTTTTGGGCTGAGAGAACAAAGCAGCGGAACAGACCTAAGCCTCGGCAGAGCCTCCCCACTACCACATTACCTTCCGGGAGACACAGCGGCACCCGCACTCTCTGTGAAGTCCTTGTGTGCCCTAGGGAACCTGGCAACAACAGGGTGGCCAGGCAGGTCCAGTGGGATGACGGACACTCCAGCTTATGTCATGGTCCCTGTGTATCTGGTAGGGTAACAGGCCCAGTGCATCTGACCCACCCATAGCCCCTCCAACTCTCACAGCTTAGGCACGCAGCTCTTCTCTTTTCATTTCTGAACTATATTTATTTAATTATTTATCTTGTGTTTGTGTGAGTGTATGTACGTGTGTGTGTGCGTGTGTGCACGCATGTGTGTATGTGTGTAGGTCAGACGACAGCTTGTGGGAATTATTTCTCTCCTTCCACCATGTGATCTTGGGACCAATCAGGTGGTCAGGCTTGGAGACTGGCTTTAGCCTGCGGAGCCATCTAACTGTAACCTTTTCTCTCTTAGAGTTCTGTTTTAAAGCCTGGTCCTTCAGGTTGGTAGCCTTTGCTTAGCTTTGGAGAGATGTCAAGCGTTAAACATGGTGCATGGAGGTCAGAAAATGCCCCAACACCTAAAAGCAATGAGACCATCCCTAGGCATATTTAAGAGCTTTAAAATAGTGTCTTGTTCTCAGGTCAGACCGTGCTCCATCCCTGCCTGTTAGGAACACTCTCATCCAGACCCACTATGACCCCCGTCGACAGATGATGTCCTCAGGATGTACCCTGTCCCTAGTAGGGTCACCCTTGAGCCTGTCTCAGGAAAGCACAATGGACTTGCAGGCAGCCACTCTGTGCACCTTGGGGAGAGGAGATTGAAAGCTTGGGGAACTTCTGTCCAAAAAGAGCAGGCCCCTTCCCTGGAGCCGCGGGAACGGCCCAGCGCCCTGTGAACGACAACCCCTTAGCAGCACGTTTTGTTTCTTCCTTTCTGTGATGTATCCAGACCCACAGCAGGTCAGTTTGACCCAGCTCTCCCTCTACCTACAACAGGGCAAACTCTAACACAGCCTCTGAGCCTTTTGGCAGGCAAATGCCACTTGCCTGGGACTGACGTCAGTAGCCCATTGTCAGCGTAATCCCGTGTTACAGGGCAAGCACATTTCAACAGTTCCGGACTGGGTCAAAGTCGCCCATTAGCCTCTGCTGCGGGTGTGGCAGCTACGGCTTCGCTGTCCCAAATGCCCAGAATACACAGGCATTTCAGAATATAGGCCGTCACAAACTCGTTCTAGGTCAAGTCCCTTAAAACTGAGCAATCCTGTCAGGCCCTGAGGCCCCAAACTGAAGCTGTGTATGCCAGCTCTCCCCTACCCCTCACCTCCTTCCTCCTGCCGTGTCATCCCAGGGTGGGCTGTCAGGCCGGAAGGACGCAGGGATTTGGGCAGACTCTTAAACAGGTGTGAGTCATCTTTCCCAGAAGCTGCACGGCCCTTGCAACAGACGTCATTTCCGCTCTTCACAGTTGAAGGGAGGTAACTGCTCCAAGGTCAGGAGTTTCAGAAGCCCCCCAGAAAAGGCTAATAAGGTGTGTGTAGAGATGCAGGGAGGTGAATGATTGCTGTGACTTATCTGTGTTGCTCACGCTAAATTAGTGTCATATAGCTGGCTCTTGGCTGGCCGTCACTGGACGGTCCCCTGGAACTGCCTGTAGACCCCAGGCTGCTCAGGGTCACTACCAGACAATCTGATGGTGAAGGCTCTGCAAGCATCATAACACAGCCTAGCGGGTACCAGGGCAGGCATAGGCATGAAGAACCATCCAAGGGGGATGCAGAAGGCAAAGTCCAAGAAGAGGGAGCATGTGTGTGCACGCGTGTGCACACCCGCACAAAAGCACAGCCAAGAAACAAGAGAGAAAAGGATGTAATATCAGCAACAGGTGAATTATGTCAAAGCAATGCTTCCCTGAACAAAGGGAACCTGATGAATATTCATCTAGCACAGACCGTCAGCAGCAGGCGCGTTGCTGAGCATGCTCATTCAGGAGGACGTTCCTGAGCAGGCTCAGTCCCAAAGCACAGCTTAAGAAAGGCAAGATGGCAGGCTCAGCTCAAAGTCTTGGGGCACACGTTCAGAGAGTTAAAGCGGTGGCGGTAATGCTGGAGTACGTGCACATATGTCGGGAAGGTGGCCGACAGGCATGGCTGTGGGCTTTGCATGCTGGTTAGTTATTTTTGTAACCTATACAAGCTTCAGTCATCGGGGAAGAAGACCCTCAGCTGAGAAAATGCCTCCGTCAGGTATTTCCCAAAGGCTAGTCTGTGAGGTGCTGGCTGATTAATGATCGATGCGGGGAGGGCCCAGCCCACTGTGGATGCTGGCACGCCCACACAGGTGGCCCTGGGTTGTATAGGAAAGCTGGCTAAGCAAGCCAGGAAAGCAGGCCAGTGAGCGGCATTCCTCTATGGTTCCTGCCTCTGCTGCTGTGTGAGTTCCTACCTTGGTGTCCCTCAAGGATGGGTGGGAATCTAGAAGTGTAAGCCAAATAAACCTTGTCCTCCCCAAGTTGTTTCTGGTCGCAGCAACAGAATGGCAAACTAGAACACTCGGCTTTTTCCCAGAGGCTTTTGTTAGTATCCAGGCACACCTTGGCCCTGCCCCTGGGGCACGGTCACCCCCTTTTCTTTATCGGTGGTGTGTGACAGCGAGATGTCTCAAAGGAAATTCTCAGATCCCAGGCATGGGTCCTTGGCTTCTTGCCTTGGAGCAGAGCAGCGGGCATTGTGGGTAAGTGAAGAGCTTCCCCAGGCCTGTTCACCTCACAGCCTTTCCAGGCATGACCCACGTAATCTGGGAGGCTGACAGACCAGGATCCAAGCTGTGCCTGAATACTAACAAAACTCAGTCTGGTTCTGCTCCAGAGTGCCGCCTGGCCATTGGGAGTGTCTATCCTGAGAGGGTCTGATGTATCTGGATTGCAAAGCGACCGCCAGTTTAGAATGACTTTTCTTTGCACCTACAGCCATTTTTTAGCTTGTTAATAAGCCTCTTTTCTTCCTCCATCTCTTCCTCAAGATTTATCATCTTCGTCTGGCAGCAGAGAATTGAACTTTGTTACATTGCAGAGTCTTGTTAACCCCCAACCCCGTGTTAATTTCCTGTGGTGCCATCTCCAGGCAGATAAATGGATCCAAAGTTAATTTTGGTACAACATCAGGTAAGTCTTGATAAGTCTTGAAGTCAAACCAGGCATGGTGGCACAGACCTTTCATCACAGCATTCAGGAGGCAGAGGCAGGTAGATCTCTGTGAGTTTGCAGCCAGCCTGGTCTACATAGCAAGTTCTAGAACAGCTGGGGCTACCTACTGAGAGCCTGTCTCAAAAACAACTTGTCTGGAGTCACCCTCCTCCCCGAGCCTCCTGGGGGCTCTGAGCATCTATAAGTGGATAGCTGGCAGCCAGGCCCGTGCTACCAGAACGGAGACAGCTGTGGAACCACGCAGCCCTTTTCCCTGGCTGTGTGCAAGAATGTGTAATTATCACTCCCAATCCTCAGCCCTCCCCAGCTCCTGTCTCCAGATTGTCCACATAGAGATTCGCCCCACCACGGTACAGGCTGACAGGTGTCTCGTACTGTGCTCTGTAGGATGTCCCAGGCTCAGATGTGTCCCCTCCTCCTCTGGCTAGAGTCCACCCTGAGAGGCTTTCAGGAGTATGTCGTGTTCATGTTCACCACTGTGGTCACAGGGACCCCATCAAAGCACTGACTACTGCTGTTATTGTCCTAACAGAGCTGAAGAACATTCCAAGAGTATACTGCCAAGAACACACTTCACAGATATGATCTGGGCCTCACTTTGTTATATCGCTGATAAGCGTGTTCTCCCTCAAGGGTGTCCAGCCACGTGATACTGCCTCTGCTAGTCTTCACCAAACTTGAACGGGCATCCCTGGACAGTGCTGGAAAAGGCAGGGAGCTAGGACGGGAGGCATCCTGTTTGGTCATAAACAGCTAAGCCCAAATGTCCATTTTCACATTCTGCTAGAGGCCATCCGTTCATCCGATAGTCTTGCAAAAGTCATTTTAAGAACACGGAAAACGCCACCTGTAAAATGGGATTTGTTTAGAAGGGTTGTTGTTCATCTCGAGTCTTTTTCGCACAGTGAAAGCTGGCGGGTGGGCACTGTCTTCTCCTAAACTGCAGTGATGAAGCCCTTAGTTTGAGGTGAAGCCTGAGCCAGACCCTGTCTGCAAAACCTGGTAACATTGTCCGCTTGCTGCAGCGCCACCTGCTGTCAGAGCATGGAAATCTGAGTTTGATTCCCAAAACCAGGTAGAAGGAGAGAAGCAATGTCATCAAGTTGACCTCTGACCTCCGTGCATGCACTGCCCTATATAAACACACACATACAATACACAGACAGACAGACAGACAGACAGACAGACAGACAGACAGACAGACAGACAGATAGATAGATAGATAGATAGATAGATAGATAGATATCTCCCCCCCCTTTAAAGAATGAAAGGTGGATGCTCTGAATTCTGTTTCCTTAAGCACCAACATGTGTCCCCTTGGAGAGAACTTTAGCAGAGCACAGCCCACATGGGCGGCAACCTTTCCCAGCCTAGTGGGCCGATAGAAGGTGTTTCTCCCATGAATGAGCTCCCAGCAGAGCAGGGATGTTGCCTCCTCTAAACATTGACAGGGCCCTGGGAGCAGCTGTCACCGTGCAGGGCCAGGTAACACAGGAAGAACGCAAACATGAGAGCTGCCGCCCCATCCTTGGACTGCACTGGGCTATACAAGCTGTAGGGTGGACTCTGGGGTGTGCTCACAGCTGCCAAGTGAGCCAATGTCACCTCTAATGGGCAGAACAGGCAGAAGAGGCACCAAAGGGTGTATGTATATCAGGGATGAGATATTTATTGTCCCTGCAATTGGCATGCCCCTGCCGCAGGAGGATGGATCTGCTTGACACAGCCTCTCATTGTTTCCTTTGGTCTCACTTCACAGCCTGTCAAGAAATTCTAGCAAGACTGTGGACTACCTCCTCACCAGCTGCCAACCATCAGGACCCTGGAATTTCGCCAACTGTCCTTTCATTTGATGCACGCCATACAGCAGCACTGGGGCCACTGAACAACTCACAAAGGGGTGTGTCACCAGCTTCCAGAGTCCAGAGGGCTGCTCACATCATACTTAAATGCCTGATCAACCAGTTCCTTCAACCGCCTACCCTCGAGAAATGATCTGCACACTTGCTTCCAACCTCATCTTGTGTTGTGGGATAATCACTGTGAAGATGTGTCTTTGACAAGGTGCCTTCTGATTGGTTTAATAAAGAGCTGAATGGCCAATAGCTAGGCAGGAAGAGGTTAGGAGGGACTTCCAGGTAGAGAGAGGGGAAAGAGGAGATGAAGGTAGGCATGAAAGAGATCAGAGGATACAGAGAGGAGACAGGAGGTGGAAGATGAAGGAGAGGTAAGAAGCCATGAGGCAAAAATGTAGATTGATAAAAATGGGTTAATTTAAGTTATAAGAGCTAGTGAGACAAGTCTAGCTATAGGTTGAGTTTTCATAATTTATAGTAAGTCTCTGTGTGTGTGTATGTGTGTGTGTATGTGTGTGTGTGTGTGTGTGTGTGCTCATGGCCCAAAGAAAAATCCATCTACAATTGTGGGCTTCAGGTGTCTGAGCCCAGGAGCTGCTTCCCGGACGGTTAAAGCTCAGGGGACAGAGGTCACCCAGGAGCCATGTCAACACGGTCTACCTCATTCACACAGAGAGTCTGACTCCTTCAAAAGACTGCTTTGCACACACTGGTGACATCGGCACAAAGCACAGGGCACATTGTGTGAATGGCTGAGTCTGTCAATCAAGCCGTTTCTACACCAACTGTGGTGTGAGGAAGCGCTTTGAGGCTGCCAGTCCCTGGACTCACTTTTGCTGGGGGTGACGGGTGGGGCTTGTGTTTCCCACAGAAGACGGTGAAGCCCAGGGGCTGCTATGTCCTTCTACTGTATGAATTCTGGGGATCAGGGACAGATTGTCAGATTAGCAAGCAAGTACCTCTCTCTACCCACTGCGCGGTCCATCCAGCCTTAAAGCGCAGTTTTTGAGTAGTTATCTGGGAACTTTCTTTTTTTTTTAGATTTATTTATTTATTATGTATACAGTGTTCTGCCTATGTGCATACCTGCACCCCAGAAGAGGGCACCAGATCTCATTACAGATGGTTGTGAGCCACCATGTGGTTGCTGGGAATTGAACTCAGGACCTCTGGAAGAACAGTCGGTGTTCTTAACTGCTGAACCATCTCTCCACCCCCCGGAACTTTCTTCTCATGGTAAGAATTCTCCCCTGGGGAGCATAGGCCCTGTGTTCTATGTCTCACACTGACAAATGGAGGTCATAAAATGACAAACTATGAAGGGTTTGAGAGATGGTTCATTGGGCAAAGCGTTTACTGTGCAGAAGTGAGTAGATCTCCATAGGCATTGCCACAGGGCTGCAGTCCAAGTGCGCATGCGCGGGGGGGGGGGAGGGAGGGTGGAAATGGGGGGAAGGACAAATCCTGGAGACTGGCTATCCACGTTGGCCAATCGGTGAACTTCAGGTTCAGTGGGAGACCCTGCCTTAAAAAATAAGGTAGGGTCCAGTGAGGTGGCTTAGTGGGTAAAGGCGCTTGTTGCCAGACATGCCTGACTTGAGTCTGATGCACAAAATCCACGTGGTAGAACCAGCTCCTGTGGGTTATCCGCTGATGTCCACATGTAAGCCCAGACTCTGTCTGTCTCTTCACACACACACACACACACACACGCACACACACACGCACGCAAAGCAAAACTGGACAGCCAGATGTAATCACCAAAGTGAGGCCTGTGAAATATCCAGAAAAGTCAGTCACCTTATGCCAACGAGGAAACAAACTGGGGATACAGCAAAATAAATGTCCACCAGGGGGCACCATGGAGAAGCCACAGAGCCGGTCGTGGACCAAGCTCGGATCCAATGGCTTTTGGAGCTGTGATGAGTTTCTGCAGTAGCAGTGCGCTAACACTTGTGTAAGCCCAAGGAGGGAGAAAATCCTTCCTCCTCCCAGAGTTAAAACACACGATTACAGTAGTGTCTTGTGAGGTTCCCCTCATCAATTCTTGTGGATGGTGGACAGGAGAGGCTTGGTGGACACCCAAGGGGAAGGGAAGGCCAGCTATGCTTCACCCTGGGGAATTCCTCCTCACTAGGACTCTCTTGGTGACCAGCTTAGCAAAGGCTTCAGCAAGTCCCATGCCCAGACACAACACACTCTTTCAGGCTCTACAGGGTTGGTGGCTGTCACTCCCAACTGGGAGAGAAGAAACGGGCACAGCTCACGGCTCAGCTCCCTTTGCCTTCCACGATGCACACTTTCCCTGAGTGCGAGTCCATCTCACCTTGGGTACATCTTGAACCCTGATCACAAGTCTGCTGTGCTGTGTTTGTAAGACCCGGCAGAAACAGTTTATGCAAAGCTGGCATCAAAATCGAGAGAAGTTTAAAAACAAACAAATAAACAAAACCCTTTTTTGTTTTAGTTGTGAGATTCTAAATCAAAGACCGGTGAGATGGCTCAGCTGGTAAGGGTGTTTACCACCAAGACTGACAACCCACTGATGGCCTTTGGAATTCACACGGAGGAAGGCAGACAAGAGCTGACTTCCTGCAAGTTGTCCTCAAGCCTCTGCGTGCATGCCTTTGGAATCCACACGGAGGAAGGAGAGACAAGAGCTGACTTCCTGCATGTTGTCCTCAAGCCTCTGCGTGCATGCTGTGGTGTGTGAGTGCACAGGTGTGCACATATGCTCATGCATGCATGATTGCAAACACACACACACACACACACACCAAGAAAGTAATAAAAGACTTTCGAAAAAAGCTCAAAGTCAAAACAATAGAACCAAGTTTTTCTTACCCTAAGAAAGCAGCTCACACACCCCATTCCAGGTCAGCTTGGTCTTTCCAAACCCCTGGGAAAGACTGCTTAGCCCCACTGAAGATGGGAGTAAGGGCAAGCCAGGCATGGGAGCAGCATCTTATAATACGGTGTTTCCTGCAGGATATTAAAGCACTTTATAAATATTAACCATCACCATCACATCTGTCTTCTTTCTCATCACTCTGGGTGAGCCAGAGGCTTTATAGATGACCGGCCAGTTATCCAGGCCACCAGGAATAGCTCAGGGCACCTTTCCCAGCTGGTCATTTCCTCTGCTCTCACCACCCCATTCCTCAAAAATGTTACGGCGTTTGTGAGTTACCCTTGCTCTCCCGCTCCTCCCGCCTCCATTACTGGAACATGCCTGCACCTCACAGGGATCTGCCCCTCCCTAGTGCTGGCATTAAAGGTGAGTGTTACCACTGCCTAACTAGAAAGAGTTTTTAACTTTTTTTCTTTACAAAAATAGTATATCCTGCAACCTGCTTCTTTTATGTGCGTGTGTGTGTGTGTGTGTGTGTGTGTAAGTTTTCTCTTAACAGCTGTACAATATTCTAGGGTATAAATACCCTTCTCAGGGCAGCCATGTGAGGGCACTGGGTCTGCCACCCAGGTGGTTCTGCACGTGTTCGCCTGTCCCATGTGCATTCACACAGGGTGAGAGTCAAGTGTCCTTGCTAGGTTAAGCAAAGCATTTGTTCTGCTAATGGACTTGCAGCTACTTCACATTTTGATCACTTCAAGGCTTTCCCTTCTTACTTATTTTGTGTGAACATCATGTGTACCTGCATGTGTTTGTGGGAACATGTATGCATAACATGATATGGGATGTCCTTCTATATATCTGTTGCTCTTATTGCTTGATGAATAAAGCTTTTTGGCCAATGGCTTAGCAGAGTAAAGCCAGGCAAGAAATCCGAACAGAGATATAGAGAGAGAGAGTAGGCGGAGTCAGGGAGATGTCATGTAGCCACTGAAGGAGGAAGTTGCCAGCCACTTGGCAATACATAGATTAATAGAAATTGGTTAATTAAGAGCTAGCTACGAATATGCCTGAGTCTTTTGGCCAAACAGTATTGTGATTAGTATAGTTTCTGTGTGATTATCCACGTTTGGGTGGCCAGGAAACCAAAGTGCAGTCTCTGTCTACGGTTGCACACGTGTGGAGGTCAGAGGTCATCGTAAGGGCGGTGGGTTCTTTCTCTCCACCATGTGAGACCCAGAGGACTCAGACCTGGTGGCACCTTTACCTGCCAAGCCAGTCCCTTCTGCTCCGTTGTTAAAACTAGACCTTTTTCTATCAAAAAAAAAAAAAAAAAAAAAAAAAAAAAAAAAAAAAAAAAAAAAAAAAAACAGTTAATCACTGTGGCCAGTTTTCTCTCCATATTATAATTTTTTATTTTTAATACTCTATGTAGAGTCTCTGATTTATCTCCTTCCCATTGCTCAGCCGCTCCCTACAGAGGACATCAATCAGATTTTTTTTCTTCTTCACGTTGGCAAGTCTGTAGCTTTCCATTGCCCTCAGGTCTTGAAAATGCCAGTCAAGAAGTGAACCACAGGGTGCTTCCTTTCAGTTTCTCCACAGAAGCCAGTCTGTGGGAATGAGCTCAGGGGTGTGGGTCTTTGGTTTACTGGTACTCAGGTACCCAAGACTTGCAAGGTGTGGAGAGCTTTGTGTGGTGCCCAGGATGACTAGAAACTTGTGGTTTCAGCCAAGAACGAGAGGATTTGGCATGTGGGGTGATGAGATGTGGCTGAGGAAGGAGGGCACATGCTTGTGACTTTTCTGCGTGAACCTTCCTGAGCTGAGAGTGGAAAACCACCTTGGAGAACACTCAAAGCCGGTCAGTCCAGATGGACAATCCTCACTCAGGACTTCTGGGTCAAGCCTGCACCTCCCCCAGAGGAGGAGCCCTTGGGAGATTAGACACTTCTCAGGCAGAACCTTCCCAGGTTGTGCCCCTGAGAGCCCCCGGAACTAGCATGGAATGACACTCTGGCTAAGATCCTTCAGCGAGCAATCTGAGGAATTCCTGGGCTGGGGGGGGGGGGAGGTACAGGGAACCAGAAAAGGAGAGACCTGGCGCTTACCTGGAGGTGGGAGGAAGTAGGTCAGCGACTTGTTTCCATAGCAACTGTGACTGAGCCAAGACAAACAGGGGCCCACACTGTTAGATCACTTCAATCCGAGTTGGCTGGTGACTGCAAAAGAGAGGACCCAGTTTCTTCAAAATAATGAAGTTTGGCACACCCGCAGCAAGTTGATTTTTGTTGAAATAAGAGCGGCGGGGCTGCGTCCCCAACACCCCGGCCGCTTGGCTAGCTCATGCCCGAAATAACAGCACACAAACTGTATTCATTTAAGAACTGCTTGGCCCATGAACTCTAGCCCTTACAGGCATATTAATTTAGCCCATTTCTAATAATGTGTGTAAGCACCCCAAGGTGCGCTTACCGGGAAGATTCTAGCCTAAGTCCATCGTGGATTGGAGCTGCCTGGGAGAGCTGAGCATGGCGTCGCTGTTCCAGCAGAGCTGTCGGGTCTGTCCGGGAGCAGCGCTGTGAGCAGAGCAGAGTCTGACCTCACTTCCTCTTCCGCCCAGAATTCTATTCTGTTTCCGCCTCCCATCTATGTTCTAACCTATCAGGGCCAGCCAAGCAGTTTCTTTTATTGCTCAGCCAATGAAATCAACAGATTGATATGACACTCCCACATCAGATTTTGTTTTGTTTTGTTTGAAATAATATAATTAAGAAACTCCAAACTCATTCCAAATCAGTTTGTGAGTTTAAGTGTAATCTGTGTTTTACTTGTGGGATTGTGTTCTGGATGTTGGCAGTGGTGTGTGTGTAAAATTTATTTTGTGCCGGGCGATGGTGGGGCATGCCTTTAATCCCAGCACTCGGGAGGCAGAGACAGGCTGATCCCTGGGAGTTCGAGGCCAGCCTGGTCTATAAGAGGTAGTTCCAGAACAGGCTCCAAAGCTACAGAGAAACCCTGTCTCGAAAAAAAAATATTTTGTGCGTGATTAGGGGATGGAGTGCTAGGCATATGCATGCTACGGTTTCAGTGTAGAGGCCAGGGCAGGGGTGAACTCGTATGAGTTTGTTCTCTTGTCTCAGTTAGGGTTGCTGTGGCGAAACACCTCGATCAAAGCAACTTGGGGTGGAGAAAGTTTATTTGGCTTACATTTCACAACACTGTTCATCATTGAAGGGAGTCAGGGCAGGAACTCAGGCAGGGCAGGAACCTGGAGGCAGGAGCTGACTCAGAAGTCATGGAAGGTGCCGCTAACTGGCTTGCTCAGCCTGCTTTCTTAAAGACCCTGGGACCATCAGCCTAGGAGGTGCCTGCTCCTAATGGGCTGGGCCTTCCCCCACCAATGAGTAGTTAAGACAACGCCCCACAGGCTTGCTGCTTAAAGCCTGTCTTCTGGAGGCTTTTTCTCAGTGGAGGGTCACACCCCTCTCACATGACCCAGCTGTGTCAAGTTGACTTAAAACTAGCCATTGCACCTGGCAGTGGTGACGCAAACCTTGACTCCTAGCACTTGGGAGGTAGAGGCAGAGGGATCTCTGTGAGTTCAAGGCCAGTCTGATCTACACAGTGAGTTCCTGGAGAGTCAGGACTACACAGCGAAACTCTGTCTTGAAAAACCAAATCAAAACAAAAACAAACAACCCAAAACCACAATTAAACAAAACAAAAAACTAGCCAATGCATGGGTTCTGGGGATCATACTCAAGTCATTGGGCATGGTGCAGGGTCTTATATCTCTGTCCTCTATCAAAGATATTTTAAAAATTTTATCAAATTAAAAAGAACTTTAAAATAAATTTTTTGGGTAAATAGAATTCTGGATCTTATTTGAAAACACAATATTTAAGATTAGCCAAAAACAAATAAGTAACTAGGAAAGGAAAACCACTAAAAAAAAAAAAAAAATGAGGGCTATTTCTTCTGGTGGGTCAGAGCAGAACCGGAAAGGGCAAGCAGGGGCCGCTGCTGTTCCTCAAAGCCCCACCCCCAGTCACTTACCATGTCTGCCTACTCTGGTGAAGTGACAGAGAACATAAATGATTGTAGGCTACCGGGCTGTGTGTGTTAGAAGGACAGGAGAAAGAACCCTCAATGTTTATATGAATTAAGCAAAACAACAGTTTAAATCCGTGGTACAGTTGTTAACCCTGTGTCCTTTGATCTTTTCTGTCTGCCAACTTCAGCACCTCCTGGCTTGCTGGTACTCTGACCTGCTCCCACTCAGAATGTGTGTTCTTTGCCTGCTGCCTCGGGAGCAAGAACCCGGGAATGACCGGCATACGGGGTCGCCCTTGCCAGAATGCAGGTTCTCGTTTGCTTGTGTTTGTTTGCTTGCATGGTTTAGTTTTTTTATTTGCAAGTGTTTTGTTTTGTTTTTATTTCCAGGCTGAATCTCACATAACGCAGGCTGGCTTCAGATTCACTATGCAGCTTAGGCTAGTCTTGAACTGGTCCTTCTGCCTCTACCGCTCAAGTGCAGAATTACAACTGTCTCTCTGGGGGGCCCTCCTGATGAGTTCTTTATTTGGTGCCGTGTCCCCCAGCAGTGCCGTCTGCACAGTCCAAGACCAGTAACTGTCTCGTTCCTTTGCATCCATTCCTCTGATCTCTCTTTGCTGTGGCAAAGACTGCCCATCGTTAACCAAGAGACGGGGAGAATTTGCCGTACAGCGTGAACCGTCTGCTGCTCCAAGTCACTGTGTGACTCCTGGCCAAGACACTCTGTGCAGTCGCAGAAAGTTAGGGCCGGGGTCCCTTCCACAGAGGACTACTGTTATCTAGGGTGCCTGTAGAGGGTGGGCTGGCTACCCGGTCCAGCTTGGCTCCCCTCCTGTTATGAGGCCATGGAGTCGAAACATGATGCTTTAGCTTTGTCTCCAGACCTTAGCCACGCATCTCTATCAGATGTTAAAGGGACGACACTCTCTCAAATAATGGGCTGACTTTCCGGCTTGTCTATGAGCAAGGCTCCTGCATGCCTAGGCCGCATTTACTGCGGAGGCACACACGTCGAAGGGTACGAAACACACAAAATGTGATGCTGTTTCGTTGCAATTATTTACTTGCATGTGGATGGAGAGCACATGGCATGGTCTGTGTGTGGAGGTCAGAGGGCAACTTATGGGGCTGAGTTTGGGTTGTCAGGCTTGGCAGCAAGCGCCTCTGCCTGCAGAGCTGTTTTGCCAGCCCAAGCAATACTTTCAGACTATTTTATCCCAAAGCTGGTTTACTCTTTCTCCAGCCTGTGATGTGCAGAAAGGGCACTGTGGGGAAAGTCCCTGCTGGGCAAGTGAGAGGACCTGAGGACCTGAGTTCAAGTCCCCAATACCTACATAAAAATTAAGCAAATAAAGAAACCGGTGGTATTGGAAGTGGGAAGGGAGGGGGCAGGCAACTGGCAGTCTGTGGAGCTCATTAGTCAGCCAATCTCACAAGCAGGTGAGCTTCCGGTTCAGAGAGACCTAACAAATAGATCAATCAATCAATAAATGAAATTTAAAAATTAAAATAAGATGGAGAACAGTAAAGCAGACACTACTCCTGTCTGTTTATCACCACAGTTCTTGCCTGCACCCAAGCGAAACAAAACAGAAACTTCCACAGCTTCTACAAATGTTCGCTACTTTGGAACACAAGGTCAAGGCCTCCCAGGCCACTGGAGGGAGCTTGTCCTGACCTAGAACCTCCAGCAAGGTCTGGGGAGAGGCTGGCCTTCAGTGCTCCGAGGGAGTCCCTTCTGCAGACTTGCAGCTGGGAACACAGCCCTGAGGCACCCAACAGCTCTGAGGTGAGATTTCCAGGAAGGCCATTAGAAAATGCTATCTTTCTTGTTGACGCTGGCCTCCTGCTTCCCGGAACAGGAGATGCTGTACCGAGAGAAGATGGAGCCCGTCCCTGTCACCACAGGGCCTGACCTCCGGGCACCTTCCTCTTCCACTCCTCCAGGGCCGCTCACAGGATAGCAAGGCTGGTGCCAGAAGGAAGATGGATCACTGGGGTCCTGTGCAGCCAGGACTTCCTAGGTCACACTGAGGCTCCTCCTGCCCAGTGAGGAACCTGGGAGGACAGACAGAGGGGGTGAAGCGGTCCTGGAAGCCAGGGTCAGAAGGGGTCAGCTGCAGAAGGAGCTAGAAGATCTGAGTTTACTTCTCACATGTCATGGCCTCTCTGTGCCCCTTCCTGGGCCAGAACAACTGGCATAAGTCACAGGCAGTGGCTGTAGAAGCAGACCACCGTTTCCTTAGCAGAAGGCTGGGGGACAGCCTGTGCTGCCTGCATCACTAGGCTGGAGCCTGGAGACCAGCCACCAGCACACGGCTGCAGCCTGTTCCTCCATGGAACCGCCCTTCTGGGATACAGAGTCTGCATCCTGCACTGTAGGCACAGACTGGAGATATAGGTCACCTTGTCACTAGGCCTCAGACTCCTGCTGTCTGGCCAGCCTCTCTGGCAGCGGCTGCCCACTTGCTGCAGGGCACGGCCATCCTCCTGGGGCTCCTAGTACTTTCTAAGGATTCTCACCAAAACTCTTCCCAGCCCTGTTGCAATGCTCCTGTTGGGCAACCACTGTCTGCTTCTATGAGGGACTCTCTAGAGAAACCTTGGAACAGAAAAAGCCCACTTGAGGCAGGAGGAGTCCTAAGTACCTCATAGGTGCCTGGAAGCCAAGTGGGGAGTGTGGCAATTCAACAAGAGCAGAAGTTACACGTGGGAGTGGACGGGTGTATAGGAAAGACGGGGGGTGGGGGGGGTCCCACTGGGTGCACACGGAGTGGACAGGCTGTGCAGAGGGGGGAAGGTCACATGTAGTCATCATGTGACAGTTTAACACAGCCCAGACCAGCTGACTGGAAGTGGAGCTGCTCTGACAAAGGTGTCAGAGTCCCGATGGCGGTTACAGGAACATTGTTAAGATAAGTTTGCAAAGACCCATGCAGAGTGGGAAGCTTCATCAGGGAACTGTCTCCCTCTCCTTCCTGTTGGACAAGGTGGAAGGGGCTGCAGTCTTGGGTACAGCGGACTTTCTTCCCCTCCCACCCTGTGGACCCTCTCTAGGATACAGTAGCCCCCCTCCTCACCTTGGGCTCGTTCTTGTTTATACTGCATTCAGTCAACGGTGGTGTGGAAAATATCGCATGGAAAACTCCAGAAGCAAACTTAGGCTTCAGATCACGTGCCACCCTGAGTGGCAAGATGACATCTCCCAGCTGGGACACAAATCATCTTTTGTGCAGTGCAAGCATTCTGCTCGACAGCCAGCCTCCGTCAGCGGCAAAGTCCGCACCAGACCGCAGCCTCTGTAGTCTAGTAGCTGTGTTCTGCGCCTGCGCTCCAGCGACCCTGATTTTATTTAACCGCGGCAGTGAATACCCGAGAAGTAAATAGCTGGATCGAAATAAACCCGATAAATTCCCTATGCCAACCATGCAAGGAAGAGCCTGTGGGGAGGGAGGATTTCGACGCGAATTTGATGTATGTCACATGAACTTCGA